CCCAGCACTGTGAAAGACGGCAGTCAGCTGAAAAAGCATTGAACCTCCCTAGAGAGTGAAACCCTGGACATGGGGGGAGACTTCTGTCATTTTCTGGCCTCTTCATTCTTTTTCTTCCCCCCCACCCCTTTCTCTGTTCAGAGGGCCCAATAGACATAAACATGAGTGAAATCGCAATGGACGACATCCATGAAATCTTCTCCAAAGACCCAGCCATCAAGCTCGGAGGTCACTGGAAACCTTCGGATTGCATGCCTCGATGGAAGGTAGGCTGTGAAGTCAGACCAGATGCTAGGAGGCCCACCTGGACTTGCCATCATCCCAGGTCGCCGTGGGATTCACGGACCATGATAATCTGTGCTTTGCACCCTACTGCCCGATGCAAAGTATCTGCAGTTCATGGAAACGCTTCGGAGGCGTGGGTTTCCCTAAGGACAGGCTGCAGCCCCGGAAGTGTGTGTCGTCCGCATGGCTGAGCGGGACCCTTTGGTCTTCTTTATAGGCGTCTTGGCTAAGCAAGGAGGAGGGTTGGTAGGTCTGTTGCGCCATGTTAGCAAAAGCCGTCTTCACCAATCCGGGGCTGCGTGTGCCTCATTCGGCATCGTTACTCTGAGCTTAGTGCGACCAAGAGCGGAGTTCTCCAGCCTGACACTGAGAATTTCTGGTTGTTTCTCTGCATGACTGTAGTTAGGAGGCATCCGTGTGTGGATCTGGCTCATGACACCGGCCTAAGTCCAGTGTCTCAACAAGTATTTATTCAAGTGCTGTTTCTGTGCCGGTCCTGCAAGGAACAAGGCAGATCTGGAATAGATGGGCATTTCCAGCCCATCACTGGGCATATGACCAGCACTAAGAGATGAGATAGAGTGCGCTGCACGCTCTAAGGGGAAGTACTGTTTTGTGGAGCGTGTTTTAGTTGTATGCCTCTGTATCCATGGACGTGTTTGTGGGACCGGTCTTGGTGGAGGATGAACGTCTTCCTCTGGGTTGTGGCCTAGAAAGAACTCACTCAGCAGGTGCACTATGTACACAGCATGGTGTGTGTGAGGACAGAGTCCGCTCACTTCGAGGGTCCACCTGCCAACATAGCCGCTCCTTCAGCAGAGGCTGCGGACAAGGCAGCCTTCCAGAATAGCCCAAGAGCCGGTCCCCCGATTCTGCAGCAGCCTCGTGCCACAGAGCAGAAGTCGGGGGGACTCACGGGGCGGCTTCTCTCGTGTGACCCTCTCCAGGTGGCGATCCTCATCCCTTTCCGGAACCGCCACGAGCACCTCCCAGTCCTGCTCAGACACCTGATTCCCATGCTGCAGCGCCAGCGTCTGTGGTTTGCGTTTTATGTGGTTGAACAGGCGAGTGGCCCTTCCTTCCCTCTTCTCTCTGTTCCGAGGCAGCAGTTCAGATCCACCTTTGGAGTGCAGAGCCAGGGAAACAGAAATCTGATGATCGAGCCACCCAGAGGTGAAAGGGAGGGCAGAGAGAGCAGTTTGGGTTTGAGGGGTTACTCGAGACGGGCAGACCCGAGTCCAGGGTGGACCTGCGTGTGCCCTTCGACAAAGGCTCCTTGTGTGGGGGTTGAGTCAGAGCTGCCTTGGGTGGTGTCTTCACTCTCCAGACCCAGGAAACTCCCCTTAAGATAAGGATAAGGAGCCGTGAGTAGAAGTGGCTGTATTGTTCTTTTCCTCCCTTTATGGGGCTTCCAAATGCTGTTATGGGTCGAATGTCTGCCTTTAGGACAGTCTTGGGAGAGAGTCACCACCCCTCTTATTTCTAAGGAGATCGGGGCGAGATGTCAAGTGGCTTGTGAGGCAGTGATGAGCATGCTGGCCCGGCCCCCAGGGGTCCCTCCCCGTCGGGTTCAGTCAGCGCTCCTTTAGGCAGGGCTGGGACAGCAAAGAGTTTGCTCCGGGAGCAAAAGAAAAATAAAGTTCTGCTTCTTTTAGGTCGGCACCCAGCCTTTTAATCGAGCCATGCTTTTCAACGTCGGTTTTCAAGAAGCAATGAAGGATCTGGACTGGGACTGTCTTATTTTTCATGATGTGGATCACATACCAGAAAGCGATCGGAACTACTATGGATGCGGGCAGATGCCGAGACACTTCGCAACCAAGTTGGACAAGTATATGTACCTGTGAGTATCACGTCCGCGGGAAGAGGTCAAATCTGAAAGGATGCTGAGAGATGCAAAGGTGGGCAAAGCCAGTTAGCTCCACCCAGCGCGCATGGGCTGGCGAAGGGATGAACAAAACGGAGCACAGCCACAGCACGGTACGCTGTTAGGCAGCAAACAGGAAGGGAGTCCTGACAACGCTGGCCGGTGGGTGAACCCTGAAAGCATTGGTGCGAGGCAGGAGCTACTTACCAGAGGCCATGTGTTGGCCTGATCGTATTTCCACGATTTGCCCGGAATTCGGCAAAGCCGCAGACACAGAAAGGACAGTGATGGTCAGGGTCGAGGGGAGGAGGGGGAACGGACAGTGGCCACTGATGGGTACAAGGCTTCTTTTTTGGGGTGATGAAAGGTGTTAGAATGGATTGGGGTCGTGGTGGCACGACTCCGTGAATATCCCAAAAACGACGAAGTTGTGTACTTTAAATGCGTGAATTATATGGAACGTCAATTATGTGTCAATAAAGCTGTTATGAAAAAGACAATTAGAGAAGGATGCAGCTAGCTACGGAGGGCGACGTGCCTCCGCACAAGGAAACGGTAGCAGATGGGTCAGGACAGCAGTGCGGAGAGCGCTGTCTCACGTTGTGCGGTTCTCCGGTGAGATGGCGGCCTGTCCTGGGGACAAACCACCCTTGGACGCACAGATGACTGAAGCTGTGCGTGTCCTTCCAGGCTTCCTTACAGCGAGTTCTTTGGCGGAGTGAGCGGCTTAACGGTGGAACAGTTCCGGAAGATCAATGGCTTCCCAAACGCTTTCTGGGGTTGGGGCGGAGAAGATGATGACTTATGGAACAGGTACCCCCTTTTCCAGTTTCCGGTGCCTTCTAGAAACACTGCCTTAGGCTCCCCCAGACAAGCGCCACGCAGGAGGGATAGGGGGCAAGCCACGGAGGTAATGCGAAGTGTTCTAGCAGCCATGTTTAAAAAGGTTAAAAAAGAAAAAGACGGGAAATTAATTTCACTGTATTTTATTAATAAAACATGTTAATAGTGTATTTATCGTCATATGTCAGAAATAACATCCTTCCAACGTATAATCAGTATAAAATGTTGACAAGATCCTTCACGTTCATCTTTTTTTCCCCTTCTATCTTTGAAATCTGGTATTTATTTTACACTCCTAGCACATTTCACTGAAACCTCCCCAAACCAGAGGTCACATATTAGTGATGTGTACGTGCATTTATCCGTACCATCAGATAAGGCTTGCGTTGTACAACGTTGGGTTGAGTAGCGTCAACTAGTCTTTTTACAGAGTAAGTGAATAGTAACCTAATAAGGAACAAATAAGCAAAAGAATTTCTACCTTGTATCTGTTTACTTTCTAAATTGGCTTTAAAAAAGAAAGCTACGTGTTGCTTTTTAATTACAGAGTAATACTTGCCGGTAAAAATTCACATAATACAAAGGTGCATAAACCAGAGCGTAATTCTTAATCCCCCACGGCTATCCTATTTCATTCCTAGGAAGTAGCGATTTCGAACAGGCTGTTTCTTTCCCCACTTTTTTCTGTTCCTACGTAAATAACCCAGGCCCATCCCTTCTCCAACCACGTTAATACAGAGAGAGCCACTTCCTTAGTTTTAACAACGGCATGGTATTCCTTTACGTGGATACACGAGAATTTATTTTAATCCTCTCCTGTCAATGAACATTGTTGTTTGCAGTTTTGAATATCCTTGTTCACGTGTGCAGATATTTCTGTAGCTTAAATTCCTTCTTGTGGAACGGCAGAGTCAAGTAAGTTGCTCTTTTGAATTTGGATAGTAATCGCCAGGATTTTCTTCCAGAAGAGATTGCAGAAAGAGTCCAAGCCATGGTGCATCACCGTTCCATCACGGCCAACATTGGCTATAAACAACCTTTTACATTTTGCCACATTTCGGCCCTTCAGCAGCCGCGTGTGGCCCGGGGCTGCTATACCGGATAGGGGAGCTCCAGACAATTCTTTCTCAGTCTGAGAGATAAAAATGGCATCTCATCCTTTTAATTAATTTGGGTTTCTTAGGAACCCGGTGAGGATGAACGGCTTCGCCACAAACCTACTGGTTGACTGGTCCTTGAGTCCAGTCAAACTCCAATTCAGGACATCTGTCGAAATTCTCCGCTGGCACTGTCCCCAGGTCAGCAGGAACCCCCTTGGGTGCAGGATCTGGGGCTGTTTCCCCCCAGTGTGCTGCACAATTCCAGGCACACAGTAGGCATCCTATATGTGTTTATCAACTCAGAGTAAGAACACACTTTCCTGTATCAAAAGGAGAGTGTAATTTGGAGTCAAGAGGAGGATGTTGAAATAATATTCTCCCGCATGTTGACATATGAAGACAACCGTAAATTTTACACAGCCCTCCAAAGTCTGCCTCCATGTGTTCACAGTTTCTTACAGTCCCATCAAGTTTCCAGTAAACCCAGCTTCAAAATCCTATCTTTTTCATACTAAGGATAAATAACCGAATACCTCCTTAAATGCTGCTGTCCCCATAGTGTTGTGAAGTTTTACATCTAGATCAGAGCATGTCCTGCAAATGAGTTCACCTCCGTGGTGACGGGGGAGTTGGGCAGAGTAATTAAGTTCACAACCAGGAAAGCACAGTGCAACTCTGACTTTCCTGACTTGCGTTATAGCAGGTGGTGGAAAGGAAAAGTGTTTTGTCCACCAGTGAGAAAAATATTTTTGATAGGATCCGAACAAGCCGGCCGAGAGGGCGTGTGCACTCACCCCCTGGGGGACGCTCACCGACGTACCTGTCCCTGGGGACCTGGCGGCACACCTCACTCTCGAGAATTTTAAGTTTCTTTTCTTTCTCAAAACTTTTTTTGTATTGTAGACCTCTTGTCTGCAACCACGCGCTTGCCCAGAGGGTAGGCAATTGAATATTTAGGTGCAGAAGTTCTGTTGTTCACCTTGGGGTTTCTCAGCCTCGGCATAGATGTGGACACCTGCACTGCTAGATCATTTGGTCTAAAGGCCCATTCTCTTTGTCTCGGACAGAGTACAGAACGCAGGCTACTCCGTGAGCCGGCCAGAAGGCGACACCGGGAAATACAAATCTATTCCTCATCACCATCGAGGAGAAGTCCAGTTTCTTGGAAGGTTGGTGCAATGTGTTTATCCTTCTCACAAATACCCTCTGTACTTTGCATTTGCAGATGTCCCAGAGCATGTGGCAACCCCTTGTCTTCCTCCCCACCTCCTCTCTAAGGTCCGGTGCTGGTGGCTGTTGAATAGTTCCTGGGGAGATGTTCATTTACCCGTGAGGCAGGCGCTTGTGTGAAATCAGATTATCGGTGCAAAACTTGATCGTAGATCTTGTAAGGAAATCGGTCACTTGGCAGCTTAAGCTTCATGGTCTCTTCTGTAGTCTTCAGGGAGTTGGAGAAAAATCCACTCCCGTTAAAGGTCTCTGTGTAACCTACACCCACACCACAAAGCAGACTGGCGCCCTTCCTGCGAGCTCCGGTTCCGGAAGCGTGGCCCCTGAAATTCCGTTTGTACTTGCTTTGTTATCACCTTTGCTTCTGATAAGGAGCTTCCATACTGGACTGATTGGGGCATATAGATGGAGGCACATCTCTGCCTTTCCAGGAGTAGCTTTTTGTCTCGTTAACTGGGAGGAGGCCTGTTCTCCAGACCATCAGTTCTGATCGCATGCATTCTGTTGTCATGAGAGTAGGAAGGCACCGAATGCCGACCCTGACCTTCTCATCTGATGGATTTTTCGTATCTTACCTGCCACTCCCCTGCCCCCTGCCCTTACCTTCGGCAAGTCATTTAACATCATGAGCCCTGGCTTCTTCATTTGCTACGGGGCAGGTACGTTAACTGAAATGAGGTCATAAGGAAAGCACCTGGCGTGAAGTAGGAGGTGTTTCCCATAATAGCATCTGGCCTGGAGCGGCTGCACGGGTGGGCCAGTCACCCGCCAGGGGACGCAGCCCTGAGTTGCTGCCCTGAGTTGTGTCCCCTCCCGTGTCTGCCCCGCCCCATCCCCTGCCGGGAGGATGTGAGCCCCTCACTCAGAGCCACCCCTCTGTTCTCTGCTTCAACAGGTATGCTCTGCTGAGGAAGTCCAAAGAACGGCAAGGGCTGGACGGCCTCAACAACTTGAACTACTTTGCAAACATCACATACGACGCCTTGTATAAAAACATTACTGTCAACTTGACACCCGAGCTGGCTCAGGTGAGCGAGTACTGAGAGGAGGAAAGGATGTATGTGCTTTACCTGCCGCCACCCAGAAGGCAGCCTGGTGTGATGTCTGGGGGCTCCACACAGGAAGAGAGTAGAAATACAGTGTCTGATGAAGGATCACAGGGTTCGAGGGG